GCTTCCGCCGCCGTCGTGCGTGCCGCTGGGCGGAGGGGCCGGGCCTGCGCTCTCTCCTCCTTCCTCCCCGCCTCCGGCTGCCGGCAGGACCAGTCTCCCGCTGTTCCTGGGATCCCCGTGTCATCGCCCACCCAGAGCACGGTGAGGTCTCAGGGAGCACGCGTGCACTCTCCCTTTCGTCCTGGGAGCCTGAGCTCGTTGCTCTGAGGCCTGCGCCAGGCCCTGGCTCGGTGGCCAGGATGGGGCGAGAGCAGCGGGCGGCGTGGGATGTGTGGATGAATGAGGCGCCTTCGGACTAGGCCGCGCGTCCCGAGAACGGCCCGAGCCTTATCCCGGCGCGCCTGGCGAAAGCCTTCTCCGGGCCGGGACGGCCAGTGTCCCTGTCAAGAGGGGAAGCATGTTGGGTGGGGGCCTGCTTTGGCTGGGCGGCCGGCGACCCCTGGGCAGGCCAGAGGACTGGACAGGCTCTGCTCATGCAGCTGTTCTTTGGAGGCCTGGGGTTTGGCCGGGAACAGGTGTCAAGACCCTGAGAAGGGAGATTCTTGGCCCTCGAGGCCAGGGATCAGAGACTGGAATATCACTTAAGTAGCAGGGCACCAGCGTGGCCCTAGAAGGTACAAATTATAGCCAGAAGACGGACAGTTTTAGTTCCCAGCTTCTAAAATGTGCGATTAGCAGTCCTCGTGAGTTCAGTTTGCAGTAATAAAGTGGGATTAATTCTGCACGGGGGAGCTTGAAGCCGGAACTAGCAAGGGATAGAGAAAGTTTGAACTTGTAAATAAAAAGGTTTAATAGGTTAATTTATTGGAAATAACCAAAGTGTAGATTTCGGAGGTTGCTTACGAGGACTGATGAGCCGTACCTGCATTGCCAAATCTGGAAGGGACTTGGTTGGAAAGACCCCTATACCTGGTATGTGTGTATCCATGTGAAAAATGGAGTTATGGAAGAATGAAGAACAGGTTCCAGATAATAGAGGAATGGTTTAGTGAGAGATGACTTGTGGCTGGTGGTTCTAGTCTGGATGGAAGATTGGTAGCTAAATTTTAAGTTTATCTTTGATTCCTGGTGCCACATATTTTTAGATCAGCCTTTCTAGGACTTCTCAGGAGTGACTGCTTTGAGAACCATCATGTCAGATGTTTACAGACATTTTTTTCTTTTTGTTAAAAAATAAGGTGGATTTAGCTCTGTGGTAGTTTTGGATTTATATGTACAGTAGTTTTATTTTAAATCTTTTATTCAATGGTATATTTTATGTGATGAATGTGGTTTTGGTCCATGGCGATAGTAAAAAGTTTTGTTCATATGTTTGTTTTGACATTTCAGATGCCCCCCAAAAAGGGAGGTGATGGAATTAAACCACCCCCAATCATTGGACGATTTGGAACCTCACTGAAAATTGGTATTGTTGGATTGCCAAATGTTGGGTAGGTGGAATTCAGGGCTTTGCTTATTTTCATTTTGTAAATTTGTAATTTGTAAATATTGTATTTTGGGTCCTGTTGTAGAAATGGGAACCCCAGAGGTAATTAAATTTTAAGTTGAAGAAAACAAACTAGGAAGCTGAAATATTAATGTTGCAAAACTAGGCTTTAGTGTAGATGTATTTTATTTTTGGTTTCCTGTGCAGATATTATGTTGAAACTTGAGTTACTTATATTGCTGTTTTGCTAAACTCAGAGGAAAAAGCAATGAGAGTTGAAATACCTAGTTGAACCAGACAATCTATATTTATTTGAAACACTTTTGAGAGACACATAGTATTGTGTTTAACTGGAATTGGAGTAGTTTGAAATTGATTGCAGTACTGGCTGGCTATGTGTGGTACCTACCTAGGCTGGCTACTAGAGGCCGTGAGGTTGGATACTTTAGGAAAGTATCATTTTCCGAAGTTTGATTAGATTCTTGGGTGATCAGGGGTCAGGTAGGTGAATTTTTACTGGAGAAAGATGTGACAATTTTGAATTTAGTATTGGAACTTGTTAGGTAAAAGGGTTTCTATTATAAAGTGTCTAAATTGGAAAGTTGTGAGAGCAGAAATTTGAGTTTTGTAATGTCATAAAAATTAAAGTGAATCATATATTTTCAAATAAGACAGTGATAGGAAATATGTGGGGTTTATCATACAAATCTATACATATGCAATTAAATGTTCAAAGTCTGCTTTTTAAATTACTTACCCTTCTATTATAATACCTTTCACTAACTTTAAAATATAAAATATTTCAAAAGTGATTAGGGCCTACTAATGGGTAACAGATACAATATGGATTTACGAAGGTGACTGAGGGTATTTTGGGATCTGCTTTGGGCTTTTATATTGGTAGCAAGTAGAACAACCATGTTCTTCCATGTGTTCTTTGGAGTCCCTGTCATAAGAGATTCCTCAGTGAATGTAGCATGGTATGACCAACCAAGGCAGTTCTTAAAATCTTGTAATGTAAAAACTTGATCAAGTGTGGCTCTCCTAATTTCAGTCTTTCCTGGAGCTGGAGAGGTTTGCATTTTGAAGGGGTTTCCTGCTGTGATATAGTCTGCTTGCAAAGTAAGATTAAATAGAGAGTGGAAATATAAGCAAAACAAATAATTAAGCAAAGTACTGTAGGTTGCTATCAATAAACTTGAAAGCAAGATATGATCATTATGTATGTTGTGAGCTTTATTGCTCTAGTAGGGGAGACATGGTTTTTAAATATTAACATACTTATTTTTGAATTGCTGCAGTCAATGCAACTTGACTTCAAATGGGACTACTTTAAAATGGACCATCTTAAGTCTTTCCTGTAAAGCTTTTTAGCCATAGAGTGAAATAAAATCAGTGTATATGAAAATAACCAAGAAATATTTTACTATCCAGCATAAATATGCTGTTTATGTTTTTAAATTAAATACACTCCTTCCCCTCTAGTTTTATTGAGGTATACTTTACAAACAGTAAAAGTCACTCATTCAGTATAGTTTTGTGAGTTCTGGAAATTGTGTTTGGTTATAAACACTTCTTTTTGTAGAATGATCTTACGTTACCCAACTGTTCAGGCAGAGTTCTTTGTAAGCAACACAAATTCTGGCTATTTTAAGCAAGAAAAAGAGGTTTATTGGAAGGAAGAATTGAAGGAGATGCTGAACAGCCAGTCCTCAGGAGGGGCAGGAGCCAGGGTGGTGCTAGCAGAGAAGGGTCCATGTGGAGCTTTTTTAAATCACAATTATTATCAGTGTTTTAGTTATCTATTGTTGTGTAGCAAACCACACAAAAGATCGTGGTTTAAAACAACGACAATTTGTTATTTCTCACAATTCTGTAGGTTAGGTGGGTGAATCTTCTGCCGATCTCACTCGGGATCCCTCACGTTCAGCTGGGGGCTAGTCAGGACTGGAAGATCTAAGATGGCCACTCTCACAGGTCTGGGGCCTTGTCAGGGTTGGCTGGAAATCTGGACCACTTCGGTTATTTGTTATATGGCTTCTTTTTCTTTCCTTCCCAGTGGTCTCTTGATTAGGCTTCTTTACAGCCTGGTGGCTGGCTCCCACGAGAGTGGAAGTGTGGCAATGGCATAGCACACTTCCACCAAAATCTTTTGGTCAAAGCAAGTCTTGATATTGGCCCACAAACAAGGAGGGAGGGGAAATAGACTCCACCTCTTGATGGGAGGAGTGGCAAAAAATGTGTGGCTATCTTTAGTCCACTGCAATCAACTATTTCCCTAATATGGTTTGTGTGATGCCCAGGTGTTCCCTGGAGAAGTCTTCCTGGCTGACTCTTAGCTCACTTCTTGTTCTTACTTGAGAAGCTCCATACTTGGTTGCTTAAAGGAACTCACTGGAGAAAGATTATTCTCTAGGCTGCAAATATTGGTGATCAGAGTATTTTCTTCCTAAAGAGCTGATGAAGTTAAGCTGAGAGTCAGAGATTCCCATGTCTGCTGAATAGACAGATTAGCAAGATTTTTATTTATTTATTTTTATTTTTTATTTTTTTAAAAGATGACTGGTAAGGGAATCTTAACCCTTGACTTGATGTTATCAGCACATGCTCTTCAAGTGAGCTAACCGGCCTTCCCTATATAGGGATCCGAACCCGTGGCCTTGTTATCAGCACCACACTCTCCCAAGTGAGCCACGAGCCGGCCCTCAGATTAGCAAGATTTTTAAATACCTTTTTCGAATGTATGTTAGGGGCTTAATAAATAATTGACATATTTTTATGCATGTATTTATTTTTCCTGTTGATCAGATTTTCTTCAATATTTATTATAAAAACAATTTTACACATAAGAAAATCCACTGAATTTTTATATGTAATAATGTTTATTATATATACAGTATATATAAGAAACAATAAACACTTATGTTTAATCTGTCCCTGGAAAAATTATATTTTCTCTTTGGGCTGGCTGTTTAGCTCAGTTGGTTGGAGTGCCATGTTATAACACCAAGGTCAAGGGTTCAGATCTCCATACCAGCTGGCTAGCTGTCCCCCCTCCCCCAAAATATGTATATGTATTTTCCTTTTATGAATTCTTAACATTAATATCTTCTGCTTATGACTATTAATAATTTTATATTTTTGTAAGGAGTGCATGTATGAACTAGTTATAAGTTGTAACTAGATGTGTAAGTGAAGGTATAGGGAAGTGCAAATTGTGTATTTTAAACTTTTTTGGGGGGTCTTTAAGGCCTTTTTAAAGTTTGCTTTTGACAGAAACTATAGCAAAGGCAGTAGTGGTCTGATGATCAAAGCTGATACTCATTTTTTGTCCTTACCTTACTTAACCTCTCTGCCCTATTTGACACTGTTAGTAGTAATTTCTCACCTTTCTTACTGTTCCTTCAGTCTTTTATTCTTGCTACACTTCCAATGTTTTCTTCCTAATAATAGATTTCTGTTCTTGGCCACCTTTTCATTTATACATTCTCCTGGGCAGTCTCATCCTCTCCTGATTTTAATCATCTCTTGGCTTCCATTTTCTAAATTTATACATGCTGCTAAGGTTGCCTCTGAGTTGCTGACTCGTATATCTAACTGCCTTGAATATCTGCAGTTAAATGTCTCTACTTGGCATGCCCCAAACTGAGCTCATTTCCTCTTATGTTCTCTGTCTTGGGTAACAATTCCATTTTCCACCACAGTATTTAAGCCAGAGACTTGAGAGACTTATATTTGCATCTATTCCCCTCAATCGTATTTTTCTTTAGAGCACCAAACCTGGTGCCTAAATATCTCTGTGATTTATTTCCTTCATGTCTTCATTTTCACTTATTTCTTTATTGCAGAGGCTTAAGTGGACTGTCAGGGCATTATCTTTTTACAGTTTTATTTAATTCAAGTATAAATGTACATATCAGATTTTTACATATGAATACATCCATGTACCCACATCAAGATATAGAATGTATCCAGCACCACGGAATACTCCCTTGTACCCCTCCTCAGTCAGTACCCTCCTCCCCAGGATACCCATATTCTAACTTCTATCACCATAGACTAGTTTGCTTGATATAGATGGAATCATAATGTACTCTTTATGTCTTAAGTCAGCATCGTGTCTGAAAGAATACCCAATTTATTTACCTATTCTGCTGTTCATGGGCATTTGAGTTTCTCATTTTTTGGCTATTATGGATAAAGCTGTTTTGAACATTCATGTACATGTCTTTTGGTGTGTGGACCTAAGAACTCTTTTCTGTTTGGTGAAAGGATACACACATACTCACCCTCACATCCCACTCCAGGAGTTAAATAGCTTTAGTAGATACTGCCACACAATTTTCTACTGTGGTTTTAATTGTTGTGCATCCTCTCTAACATTTGGTATTATCAGTCTTTTTCATTATGGCCATACTTATGTGTGTAGTGTTTTCTTGTTGTTTTGTGTATCTCTGATAGCTTGTGATTTTGAGCACCTTTTCATATACTTATTGGATACCTTTTGTGAAAAGTCTTTTTTTCTTAATGATTAGGTGTTTTTTATTCTGGACATGATTTTTGTTGGATGTGTATTACAACTGTCTCTTTCTTTCTTTCTTTCTTTCTTTCTTTTTTTTTTTTTGTCTTTTTCGTGACCGGTAAGGGGATCACAACCCTTGGCTTGGTGTAGTCCGCATCGCACTCAGCCAGTGAGCGCACCAGCCATTCCTATATAGGATCCGAACCCACGGCAGGAGCGTTGCTGCGCTCCCAGTGCTGCACTCTCCCGAGTGCGCCATGGGGTTGGCCCACAACTGTCTCTTTCTAGTTTGCTTGACTTCACTTTAAATTAAAAACTTTTTTTTGAAGTAATTTCAAGCTTAAAAAATTTCACACTTGCAAAAATAGTTTAAAATATTTCTATACAACCTCTGCTTATGTTCCCTAGGTGTTCACATCTTCCATAGTACAATTGCTAAAACCATAGTGCAATTTCCAAAATCAGGAAGTAAACATTGATTT